GCATCTCTTTATAAAGAGTCGAAGTAAGTGGCGCTATGTATTCGACTAAATTATTGAAAACAACCAACACGGTTAAAAATTCAACATAAATTTATTTTATATTCCACTAAATACATTAGCTAAATAAAAGAAGACAAATGGTGAAGAATTGTATGTACCGGGTGATCGTTCCAAACATCCCTTGACCGATGGTTGGGTTGGTATTACAAGTCGGTTGGATCCAACGGTCCTTGCTCGAGATAATACCGTTGGTTGTATATATCCACGTTGTCCCCAACCTACGAGAAAATAACAACGAGGTTAGTACATAGATTAATTAAAAAGCTTATAACAACAATAAATATTAAACCAGAATAATGAGTACGTACCGCTAGAAATTCATCAACATAAACTCCCTCTCCTTGCCACCAATCGTTCATTTTTTCGGGAAATTCGGACAGAGATTCGGCTCGGCTCGGCGGGTTTTGAGGAAAAAACCTAAGAAATGTTTTCTGATGGCAGATCGGACTTAGCCGCAACCAACATGCCACTATTTCCTAGGCTTTTGGGAGGGGAGGGGAGGGGTTAGAGAGCTAATTCTAGAGAGAGAGAGAGAGAGTGGAGAATGGTTGTGGTGTGAAAAAATGAGAGGGGGGGATGGGATATTTATACCCATCAGACCGCACCTTCCAGGGGCGGTCGGATAATTTTTCCCCAGTCAAAACCGCAGCTTGCCGAGGCGGTTTGCGCTCCCCGATGTTTGACCGCACCTCGGCGCAGCGATCTTCGATCCGTGGAAAGGATCGCTGACCTGACAAGCGGTCTGCCACTGGATCGCATCTTCATCCTGCGGTCCCAAAGGCCGCTGCCCACCAAACATAGACTGCACCTCCAAGGTGCGGTTTCCAGAATAAAACGCACCTCCATGGGGTGGTTTATTAAAAATGGTGCTATTAGTGTAAATTTTTTCGGTTGGGTGCTAGTTTTATAATTTTTTTTTAAACGTGCTATTATTGGAAAAATCCCCTTAGTCACTTGATCTTGGCCCCTTGAACATATATATAACTAGAATTGAAAAGCTTAGGTATAATAATTGACAGGTGCATGTGATTCCATCAACTTACTTGTCTCATGCATTCACTCACACACAGATACATGTGGGATTGGATAAGATAAGCTCCCATGCATTATATCCATAATTGTTGAGTGTCCCTCTCCATATGTTATGTTTCAGATGATCCATCAATATTATTTGGTTGTTGAGTCTTCTTATCATCAAGTCAACTTGCAAGGTGAATAAGTTGATAACTAGTTTCAACCAATGAAGTAATGTATGTCCCCTTGAGTTGATGGAAATTGGATCTGCCCTCAAGTTATTGGGAAGCTTCTTGGATTTGAGCATACTTCTCGCCATCTCCGCAATCGTGCGGTTTTTCCGTCCTACCACGCCATTTTGTTGTGGTGTGTAACGGACTATCAACTGCCTTTCGATTCCATTGTTGTGGCAATACTCTCCATAAACGGAGTATAAAGAATTCTCCTCCACGATTTGGTCAGAGAGTTTTGATCTGATGGCCGCTTTCCTTCTCAGCTGCGGCTTGAAATTGAAGGAACTTGAGAAAAGCTTCTGACTTTTGCTCCAGAATGAATACCCACATCATTCTGATGAAGTCATCTACAAATGGTAGAAAATATATTTTATCGCTGAGTGATTGTGGTCGCGTTGGACCGCATACGTCTGCATGTACCAACTCTAGTGACTCTTTTGTTCTCCAAGATGTCTTTGGAAATGGTAAACGATGCATTTTTCCATATGTGCATCATTCACAGATTTTATCTTCTTTGTTGATCTGGGGAAGTCCCACCACCATATTTTTCTGCCTCATTAATTTGAGACCTTTGAAGTTGAGATAACCGTATATGAGATGCCATAGGAAGGATTGATTCGGATTTTCACTCTTGAATGCTACTTCACCATTTTGTAACATAGCAAGAGAGAAAATTCTGTTGGAAGTCATCGGGACTTTGGCCACCGTGAAATTGTCTGCTTTGTTGATAATCTCGCACTCGCCATTATCAAACAAGAGCTTGTAATTTTTCAGCATCAGTTATTCCACCCTAAGTAGATTGTGAGTTAGCTCTAGAACATACAAAACGTCTCGTATGAGAGTTTTGTTACCTTCTTTTGTGCATACAAAAACTATGCCTTTTCCTTCCACTTTTAGCTTCTTTTCGTCTCCAAATTTAACTTGAGAGCGGTATTTGTCATCGATGTCGGTGAAGGACTCTAGATCTCCAACCATGTGGTTACTGTAACCACTATCCACCATCCAGGGAAGTTGTAACTTTTGCTCACGCTTCAGGCATGATAAGGCCACCATATTGCTTCTTCATTTTTGGTGCCGCTTGACTCGCCTTCTTCTTGCTTGTTCTGGAACCAACAATCTCTCTGGGAGTAGTTTGAAACGTGCACTTAGTGCACTTGAATGTGCAATCTTTTGTTGGATGACCCTCCTTTTTGCAAATTATGCAACTCCAGCCGGTGTAGGTCGATTTTTGCTGTTGATAATTTTGTCTGTTGTTTCCTCTGTAATTGGATCTTCCTCTTCCTCTTCCTTGTGAGTTTCCCCCTCTCTGGACTTGCTCCCATCAGACACATTTACTTTCCGTCATATTGACTTTTGACTATAAAGCTTGCTCCAATGGCAGTTTGGTGAAGCGGCTCATTCTTTTCTCGTGTTCTACAAGTGAGCCCTTCAACTCGTTCATTGATAGATTTTCCAAATCTATGGTTTCTTCTATGATAACAACAATATGTTCGAACTTCGATGATAGGCTGCAGAGAATTCTGTCCACGACTTTCCTTTCATCCATGACGTCACTAGTAGCTTTGATCTAGTTGACTGTCTCCGCCACACGCGAGTGAAAGTCTTTGATGGTGTTGGTTTCCTTCATCATCAAGTTGTCAAACTGACGCCATAAACTTTGACACCTGATGGAGATCGCCTTTTCAGAACCTTGAAATTGTTCACGCAAGACATCCCAAGCTACTTTGGCCTTTTTGATGCCATAGATTCTTGGGTAAATTAACTTGCTCATGGCTTGCTGAATAATTATCAAGGCACTGGCATTTTGCTTGGCATTCTCCTTGTACTCATTTATTTGCTTGCCCGGACTTTTCTTGGAGTCTTCATCCTCGTCTTGTGGATCTTCATATCCTTCTTGGACAATATCCCACGGATTTTAAGAGATGAAACTAGGATCCATCTGGGCACTCCAGTATAATTCTCCATCGAAAATGGGAATTTGATTTGAGCATGTAGCAAACATGGTGTTTGACGAAGTTATTGGCGTGGCTTTTGAGAAAATTTGTGTAGGCTAGAAAATTGAGAATTTTTTAGAGGATAGAAGGGTATTAGCTCTTACACCAAATTTTTTGGATATTAGTGGAAGTAGTGATAATTTTGGATCATAACAAAGGAAATATTGGTGTTTAATCACTCAATTTAGAAATACACTCAAATCAAACATAGTCTTAAATTTTTGTTTATGTTTAAACACTCACACAAATAAGAACCATACGACACACTTGTGCCTTTCTTTTTCTTTTCTTTTGATCTCTCTTTCCACACTCTCTGACAAGCCATACTTGAACATATATATAACTAGAATTGAAAAGTTTAGGTAGAATAATTGACAGGTGCATGTGATGCATCAATTTACTTGTCTCATGCATTCATTCACACGCAGATGCATGTGGGATTGGACAAGATAAGCTCTCATGCATTATTTCCATAATTGTTGAGTGTCCCTCTCCATATGTTGTTTTTCCATATGTTGTTTTTTAGATGATCTATCAATATTATTTGGTTGTTGAGTCTTCTTATCACCAAGCCAACTTGCAAGGTGAATAACTTGATAACTAGTTTCAACCAATGAAGTAATGTATATCCCCTTGAGTTGATGAAAATGGGGCATACCTTGTTAATGATAATTTACTAATGCAACTTACCATTTAACACCAATCTCCTTCATCGAGAAATCCAGAGCGATGCTGGAGAGTTTGAGAGCCTTCAGGGGAGATGTTGAGGTCACGCCAGCTGATGGTGGGAGGGGAGAGAGAAGAGGATGATGTGTGCGTCGAGCTGGCATCCTAGTCAACATTGTGTTAATCTAACTGATGGAATCTGTAACGCCGTTAAAATTTGTGACAAAAATGGCTAGATTTTTCATCAGCCATTTGAATTTCTGGCTATTTTATGTATATCTCAAAAAATGGCCATTATTGTCACAAACACGAAAGTTATGACTATACAAATGTATTTTGTCATAGGGCTAATACCACTAGGAAACCCGAACTATCAAGAATTTGTCATTTGTGTCCCAAACTATTCAATATGACATTTGTGTCCCAACATATTATAATTGTGTGTCATTTATGTCCTGACGATTTTGTTGACCGTTATAGATAACGGTTGACCAAACGGACGTCACAGATTTACTGACGTGGCAAAAAAGGTTGCTGCCATGTAGATGCCACATCATTAAATATGATTTTTAATTCAATATTTAATTATTTTAAAAAAATAGCAAAAGTAAAAAAATAGAAAGTAAAAGAAAGCTAAAAAGCTGCCTCCCTCCGCCTCTGTTCTTCGATCCTCTGTAAAACTAAAAGCCACCGCCGCCACCGGTGAAGATGATTCATCTCAAAGGATAACCCCGGCGTCTAGGTTCAGCTCGTGCCGGTTAGCCTAGCTCTACTCTCAAATCTCGCCTTTGGGATCAGAAAAGTTATGAAAACCCGCCACTGGACCTCTCTCTCTCTCTCTCTTACTAGATTTGGAGGTGACGGAGAAAGAAGGGAAGTTCGATTTTTGGTTCAGATCTCTCTCTCCCTCTCTCTCTCTCTCTCTCTCTCTCTCTCTCTCTCTCTCTCTCTCTCTCTCTCTCTCAGATCTGCGATGGCCGGTGGCAACATAGTCGATTCCGAACTAGGTTGGAGGAGAAGTTCGATTTCTGGTTCACTCAAACGCCCACTGATTCTCCCTACGAATCTTTTCCTCCTCCTCCAAGGTGAAATCATTCTTGATATTGAAATAATTTCTTATCTCCTCTGTCGTCTTCACCTTGATCAGGTCAGCCACCGTCTGGTAGATCAAATCCAACAGATCCTTCACGTTCAAGTAGTTCGCCGCCAGCAGCAGGTCGTACGGCGTGTCCTGTCCCACCTTGGCGAAATTCGTGCCCCATTTCTTCAACTCGGCGACGTCGGATTGAGGAGCAACATCGTGTGCTTGCAAAACTCGATCACCTTGGCCAGAATCATGGCAGTGACGTTGGGGATCAGGATGTTGTCGCCAACGCAGTCGTCCTTGATCATGTGATTGATTGTCTGCCACTGCATCGCCACCACCTCCTCCACCTCGAACGACTCACCATCGCTGCTCATTAGAGGATCAACTTCTTCTCCGCTGTCGATATTGTTACGGTCAGCGATTGGATCTCTTGACTAATTAGTTTCTCCAGGGAATCTTCTCCACGCCGTGAGCGATTTGAAAAGCGATGGTTGCTGATTGGTTGATGAAGATGTGAGAATCTATACGCCTAGAGCTGCTTATTTATAGGAAGAGAGCCGAATTGAACAAATGTTTAATTTTAGGAAGAGTCCAAATTGGAAAAGGACGAACTACTCTCGGAGAAACGCAAGGCTTTGTACGCGTAGGAAAATGATTTCTTTTCCTCTTATAATACTAGCTTATACCCGATCCGTTGGTCGGAAGACTCTTTCCAAGACAAATTATTTGAGTTTAGTTGTCTTATACCCGACCCGTTGATCGCACGACCCTTTAAAATCATTCTGAGATAAATGATTCGAGTTTGGTTGTCAGAAATTCCATTATTTTTGCTGGAAAGCATAGAGGAAATCTAATAAATAGAATGAGAAGTGCGAAAACAATGACATGTGTTCTTGAGATGTGGATAGTATGAAGATTAACAACACTATGCATTGCAATCATCCAAACCTTCAAGTTTTCTTTTGACGAACTTTGTAATTGGTGTGATAGAAAGTATCTTCAATGTTCACTAATTCACAATCGATAATGTCATCGGTTACTTATGGTAAAGTTAGAGGGGGGAATCTATGTTGTCATGGATTGGGAAGAAGAATGAGCATTGGCGAGATGACCCTGAAGTAACAAACATGTTAGCAAGAGTGAAAACATTATGGGTGTGTGTGATTCTAAAGTTTAAGTGAAAATATATAATGAACTCACTATATTATCTAGACAACTATCATTGTTGTTGTCGGTATCTTCTCTTTTTCTTCAATGATTCTCAATAAACAAAGTTTGCTTGAAGTGTTAGAGTAATCATAGTCAGTAAACTTGTTAAGCACATTTGATTCTTTACATTCAAGCGCCAAAATTCCCCAGCAGCTGATGAGTTGTCTTCGTTGTGAGTTTTGTCATAAAACTAATGGGCCAATATGTTTAACTATTTGGAGGCCACATGATGAGAAATACCAAATCCATTGCAGTGAAGTTATCTGTTATAGTAATGATAATGCAAAACATGTGTTAACAAACGGGCATATGGATTACTTGATGGATTGACATTAGAATAATGGAGTTGAACAATGGGATCAAACTCAGTTTAGCGACATGTAGTTTGGCTCGTTTGGTGTAGAGGACACCATAATTGACTCATAGAAACTATATAAAGTCAAACCATCGCAAATAATATCAACTGCGCATTCATATTTGTCTTCTATATAAGACATATGCATAGTTCTAACAACCAGTCGTCAATCTCAAAACTAACACTAACATAGTTGAATAAACGCAAGTTATAGTTCAAACGCGAGGTTGAACATCTAAGCTAATGAGTTGCAACATGCAACGATGTTGAAAAAGAAAGCATTTTATATGGGACTTTCATGTATAATATAATTAAAATAAACAAATTTCAAAATTGAACTATCAAAACACCAAATAAGTACTTACGAATATTTATTTGGGCTAGCTAACTGTTCAAAAGTTTTGTGATTTTCATATTTTAGCTCACATATATTTTTAATTTAAAAAGATACAACAAATCTACATGGGAACCTTGACTTTGTTTGAAGTGACCATGGTTCAAATCCCAATATGTTTCTTTCTTTTTCTATACATAAAAAATAAGATAGGTAATTGTGAAGACAAAAACGTCATTCCTACTTTTGCTCTCGTTGCAGAAAATCTGAAATGGGAGGTCAAGTTTTCCCTTGTAACTTTAAATATATGTGCTTATTACCCAGCCCCTCGACCGAACGTAGTTTCAGAAATTGGTACTCTGATTCTAATTTATATTACCCATTAGCATGTTTGTGGCGATGGTCGGAGGTAGGTCAACAACACTATAATAATATGATGGAAATTCATTATCCCATTGCATTACAAAAGAAACAGTAAATCATAAACACTATAATGGACAATCCAAACCAAGTGATTAGCCCTAAATCTAGCCAGGGATCGACCCACGGATTGACTCGAATTGACCCGGACCCGGTAACAAAAACGGGCCACATACACCCGGTTAACAAATGACACGGAACCGATTTTTAAAACGGTCAACACCCGGCAAACCCGGGCGGGTCCCGCAGCAGCTGTTCCCATATTTGTATATGATAGTGGAGAAATTATTGCCTACACCGGGAGTACCACACCACTAATCTCACGTGTTACTCCCGGCCAATAGATAATCGCTAAGTGTCTAAAACATTTATTAACTCTTTTCCCGCTGGAAACGTATTTATTAAGACTTTTAATTCCTTTTCTGTTAATTTTCCTTGAGCAAAATTAATATACAATTTAACAGAATTGTTTCGTCTCCCAAACCCCAATCGAACTCTTCCCCTGGCAGCAATCGTCTTCTCCTGCTGCTGGAACTCCCACAAAATATATTGCTCGGCGCCGTCTTCTTCTGCTGTTGGAACCCTTAATTACTAGAATCCCACACAATTTTGTGTCATTCCAATTAAAGGGATTTTTTAATTAACAGTGTTGTTCTTGCCTGCAACTGCCTGTTCCCGCTCACTATCAGCACAACTTTCGACCGAAATCAATTCGTGGCAGTAATGGAGAAATATTTTGACCGGCGGCAAATAATCGGTCGGCGGATCTCCTCGCAAGAGCCAGCATCACCCAGCTCGTATGAGGAAACAACTCACGCTGGCTTTTTGGTTAAAAAATATTTATCGGTTGCTCCAATTGTTGGCGCTGCAGGTAGCACAGAGAATTTGACTCCATGAGCGCCCGAAGCAGGCAAAAGGCAATGGAATTGCTTTCGTCTCTATTCCCTTAAAAAATGACCAAAAAAGATTGAAGGTACTGGGACATTAGAAGAAGGAAAGTAGACATGAGAGGAGAGAGATTGAACGTGGTCATTAATTAAGAGAAAAGGAATTAAAAATATTAATAAATACATTTTCACCAGGAAAAGAGTTCATGAATGTTTTGGACACTCGATATTTTGCTATTGGCCGGGAGTACCACGTGGGCTTAGTGACGTGGTACTCCCGGTGTAGGCAATAATTTCTCCTGATAGTGGGGTTTTCATTCTTGGTCCACGTGAAAGTGGACATCAGGGACCCCACCAATTTCATAAAATACGAATAGATGGATGCAATGCTTTTGAGGGTTAACTTTATCATTTAATTATTGTTCTCTACTTATTACTTAATAAATTTTGATATTTTCTTATAATTCTACTTCATCAATTTTGGCTTTGACGATGAAGTGGCTTTCCAACTCCCCCTTTTCTTGTGTTGTTTATTTAATAAATCATTTTATTTTGTTGGTTTATATAAGTCAATTAATTATTCAAAAGTGTATATTTGAATACGAATATCATATATATACTGATATCATATGATATGGTGTATTTAAGTTCGTTTGAATTTTCATTATAGGCTAAATTTATGTACGAACTATTATTTTGGTGTAATGTTATATGTTATTATTCATCTGAAATTTGATATACCTAAATTTATATATGAAAATTATAACTTATCCGGGCTAAACAGGGATAAACGGGTGATCCATTAACCCATGACCCACTAGCTTGATTAGGTCCTAGTTGACCAGCGGGTTGATACCCTTGGTCGGTACCCCTACCACTATGAAATCCTGCCATATCACTCCTAATCACTCTGCTACCCTAAACACACAAATGACTTACATCTCTATACTTTCTATCTCTTCGATCTGTATAAGTCAATCGTTATGTAACCTCTCCATTATCACAATTTTTATCCTTCTCGACAGCAAACACATTGATTGGTCCTCTCTTACTCTTTCTTCGTGGAAGCTACATGGCATTTTGCATCAGTGCACATTAATCCAAACAACCATTCATTTGTTGCAACTTATGGCTTGAGGTAATATCACTTAAGTCATAATACAACTTTCCATGAAATGAAATAAATGATCAGTATAATATCCTTGTAAAATTTAGAGTACTAATATTGATTCTCTTTTCTCCTCGGTGGTTTCGTCAATAAAATGAGATTGGCGGCTATCTCTACCAACGCATTCTATATGATCATAGTATGGTCTTTTGTATAAATCGTTTATGCCTTACCAATTTTTGCATTGCGACTCCAAGAGCTAACTTGTTGTGGCTCTCCTCTAGGTAAACATCTTGTATCAACATCAGCAAGACAACAAAAATTGATTTGGTCGAGATACTATCAAAATTTTGTGCTGCACTGAAGAAGCCTAGACCGTTTCTCAGGCCTCGTCAACCCCCAAACAATATGATGTGGGTCATTTCTCTCTTACCATCTAAACAAAAGAGGAATCTCGGGTTCTGTCATTTATAGTTTAACTTGACAATTTTTTAGAGAGGAGATACAATCACGATTCACAATTCCAAAACAACCACATCTAGTAATGAAGCCCCCAAATTACAATTCCGTACATATTTCCTATGAGGGTATGCATGTGCAGATTAAGAAAGTTAGAAGGATTAAAGAGGGAGCTTACTTGGCATGCGATTTTGATGAGCAAAAATCCCGTAAATAAATTCCAGGTAGAGATGTCCAATCGGTCGGGTCTAGGCATGTGTATGTTTCAACTGACTATACTACAAACACAAAGAGTTCGATCAGTTTGTCATTCCCATGTCAACATATGCTCACCATGTATTTATTATCTGTAGAGAGAAGAATATCAAACCACCTTGTATCTGCTCCAATTATGGGTATCACTCATGTTTTTTATATTGTAATTATTAGAACTCCACTTTTAAATCTGGAAGTAAGTGACCACTATCACGAAACATCATATTGTAATAACTTATTTGCAATCATGAA